GCTGCTCGGCTCTCGGTGTGTCCCCCTCCTCCTAGCTCAGCCGCCTGACTCTCTCCCTCCTTCCCTCAGAGGATGTCCGCCTTCCAGATCAACCTCAACCCGCTCAAGGAGCCCCTCGGCTTCATCAAAGTCCTCGAGTGGGTGAGTGCCTCCGACGAACCCCTCGGGTCCCCCCCGAAGGCCTCTCGCGGCGGCGCCCTGGGCCGGGGAGGCAGAGGCAATCCGGGCGGCCGGGGGGCGCGGCCCTGCCCTCGCCGGCCTCGAGCCGCCGCCGCGCCCCGGGAGCAGAGGAGGAAGGAAGGGCAGGCCGGGGCGCGATTCCCGAGTCTCCGCGGCCGCTCCGCGCCCCGGCCGCTCCCGTGCCGCCCTGGCGCCGCCCCGCTCACCTCGCACCTGGGGGCGGAGTGGGAGCGCGAGCTTCTCGGCTTCACTGCTTCCCGCGAGGGAAGCGCAGACTTCCTGTTGCGGTCTAACCGAAACCCAGCGGCCGGGACAGCGCGGCCACCTCGGGCCCGGGAGGACTTCGCGGCCACCACCGGCCCGGGGCGGACTGCGCGCCGAGTAACTTGAGCAGCGTTCTCGTTTTAGTTTCCTTTCAGATTAGCTTCCAATTAGAGTTAAAAATAAACGGTGGGTCGGGGGAGCGGGAGGAAGAGGCCTGGGGGACTCGTGCAAGCACGCAGTGCTTGGGCTGCAACCCGACTTCCTCGCGAGTATTTGCAGGCGCTCCGCAGCCTGCTTTCTCCCAGGCCCTCCTGGGGCCCCTCGGTCATTAACATCAGAGGAGGCTTGGTAATTCGACCTTGGACGTGCCCACTCGCGCGGAGGAGTTAGTGAAATGTACCAGGCGGTACGGGGTCCTGTCAAACTCTGGGGCCTGGTACAGATTTCAGTGGTGATTGTTACACTTTGATTAATTAATTGGGGCGCTCTGGTGGCGTGTTCCTTACGGAATACCCAAAGGCGGCTCCGCCTCTAGTGGTTCGAATCTCCTAGGGGCTCAGCTGGAGGGAGATGGACAGTCTCCTCCTGGGGGATTTACAGAGCCTGGAAAGCCTCTTGTTTTAATGAATGGTCAGTTATGAGTCGGTTCCCACTCGAAGGCGCTGAGTATCCTGGGCCAACTTGTTGCATTTATAGCCAGCAGCATTGATGTCTGTAGCCCATCTACCCCGAATTTTAGTGACAAATGGCCAAGAGTAAGAACTTTGAGGTTCTGTTTTTGAAATAACCTATTGAGGTTGTTTTTTAAATGGCACAGAAAGACAGATTCTCCTGGGGCACATAATCTAATCTCCATCATCTCCCACGCAAAAAAAAGGACTATTTTAATGACACAGTGCATACACTTAGGGTATTTAAAATCTGAATCTAGAATTAAATATAAAGAACAATTATTAAAGCATATGAAGGAGTTTGCAGGATGAAAATCACATATAAAGGCTGGAAAAATATCTTACACCTAGTAGATTTAATATGGTTAAGAATTATAAATTTTTAGTTGATGATTTACATTTTCACATAAGTAAATGAAAAGACAATTGTTTTGCCAGTGGTTTTTCCCCCCTTTTAAAAAAAGTTGGCAGCCGCATTTTATCTCCCCTTCGCCTTTTAAGCCATCTCAGTTCATTAAGCAATTTTGGTGGCTTAGGGGATTACACAGCCAACCCAAAGACAAGAGTTTAGAATTAACTACCTGCTTCAAGGGGGAAAGGAGCCATTCTCGTCCTGGGCAGTTTACAACCTTTGAAAACCCCGTGGAGGGTCAGCTAGCTATGAATTGGTTCTGCCTCAGTGGCGGTGAGGGAGAGAGATGTCACTCCTTACTATAGGACTGGTTGCTGATGTCTGCTTGAGTCTGTTGTTTTGTCTGGTAGTCATTGAACAGTTTTCCCCTTTGTGCCAGTCCTTTACCTTGCAAGCACATTTTCTTTTTCTAATGAATAGCTTTTTTTTCCTGATCCATCCAGAGAAAGCCAGCCAGAATCTTGTTTGTCATCCTCCTTTCTTAGGAACATTCAATTGGTAACATTTCCTCTAAAAATTGGTAGGTTTGTTCTTTCAGCAGTCTTTACTTTCATCAGTGTTCTTTGCAAATACCATAATCCGAGCGGGTCAGTTTTTCAGTCTTCCTTATTCATTACCAGTCTTTTCCATGCATGTGGGGTGATTGAAAAGGGGCTTGGATCAAGTGCACCTTCGTTGTGAAAGTGACAGCTTTGATTTTTAAAACTAAATCAGTCATTTGTAGCAAAATTTAATTACTTTTAAGTACTACTTCCATGGACATTGTTAATGAAATCATATTTTTCCTCCTTTTATAATTTTGTTTACCTTCCCAGTTGTGATTCAGACATCATTTATACTGAATCCATACTGTAATTTTTTTATCTTCATCTGTAAATTCTTCAGTTCTTCCTTGTTTCATCAAGCAAAGGCGTGTAATCTTCATATCTCAGGTTAATGAGTTCTTGTATTCCACATGGCACATTCTTTCAGATAATTCACCGTTGAAATTAGCCCACAAATATTAAAGGACCCAACTCTGCTGTACCTCTTTTCTCATTCTGAACCATTCAGTATTTCCTTGTTTTCTTTGAGTGACTATTTCTTGATTCTATGTTCTGTATGAAGAGTATGTTCTAGAGTTCCCATTATTTCAGTGTTATCTATAATTTGTTTTGATCCACACAGTTGAATGCCTTCATATATTCAGTAAAATACAGATCAACATCTTTCTTGTATTCTCTACTTTTAGCCAAGAACCATCAGATAGCTGCTTTAATATCCCTCGTGAATCTGGCTTTAACTTCTGGCAATTAATTCCCTCTTAGTATATCACTGTAGTCATTTTTTAGTTGTCAGCAAAATTTTATTAGTGTAGGATATCATTGATAATGTTCCACAATTCTTGCATTCTCTTTGTTGCCTTTCTTTGGAATGGGCACTGATGTGGATCTCTTACAGCCCATCGATGTTACAGATTAATTTTTATAAATCCTAATCTGTACATCTCTTCAGTTTAAGTAAGCAGAGTTCTGTCATCTGCATAGGACAGATTGTTAATGAATCTTCCACCAATCCTGATGCCACACTTCTCATAGAGCCCAGCCTCTCCGATAATCTGTTCTGCATATAGGTATGGAGATAAGACACATCCCAGGGCCTACACCCTTCTCAATTTTGAACCATGCTGTATTTCCTTGCTCTGTTCTGATGACTGCCTGTTGGTCCAAGTATAGGTTTCTCATTAGCACGATCAAGTGTTCTGGGATTCCCATTCTTCTCAGAATCAGCTACAGTTTGTTGTGATCCACATAGTCAAATGCCTTTGCATAATCAGTGAAACACAGATAGCCAAGATCCATCAAACATCAGCTACAATATCCCCTTCTAAACCCAGCCTGCACTTCTGGCATTTCTCTGCTGATGTGCTGTTCCCGTCGTTTTTGGATAATCTTCAGCAGAATCTTGCAAACAATGATACTGTTCAATAATTTCCACACTCTTTTGGGTAACCTTTCTTTGGAATGGGAACAAATACATATCTCTTCCAGTCAGTTGGCCAAGTGGTTCTCTTCCAGATTTCTTCAAACAACTTGGTGAGCACATCTAGGGCAGTATCTGTTAGTTGAAATACATCAGTTAGTATACCATCAATATCTGAGGCCTTATTTTTTGCCAATTCCTTCAAAGCAGCTTGAACTTCTTCCTTCATCACCATAGGCTCTTGCTTATATGTTTCATGAAATCTTGCTGCAGAGGGACAAGAACTGTAGCCTTCAATATGGATTGAGTCTTTAATATCAAGAAGACAAAGATTCTCACCACTGGGCCAATTGGCAGCATCAGGATGGATGGTGAAGAGACTGAGAGTGTTAACAGCTTTATAGTTTGCTTGGCTCCTCAGTCAACACTCTTGGCACTAGCAGCCAGGAAATGAAAAGACATATTGCGATGGGAAAGTCTGCTGTTAGGGACTTCTCCAAAGTACTGAAGAGCATTGGTCTCACTCTGGATTAAAGTGTGCCTGATACAGGCCATCGTCTTTGTAATCACTTGCTATGCATCAGAGAGCTGTACAATGACTAGGGAGGACAGAAGGAGAATTGATGCCTTTGAGCTGTGGTGCTGGAGAAGAGTATTGAATATACCATGGACTGCAAGGAAAACAAACAGATTCATCCTGGAAAGGGTTAAACCAGGCTGCTCCTTCGAGGCAAGGTTTCTGAAGCTTTGACATATTTTGGACATGTTGCAAGGAGGGAGCAGTCCTTGGAGAGGGCCATCATACCTGGGGGGGTGGAGGGACAGCTCAGGAGAGAAGGACCCTCTGTGAGATGGATTGATTCAGTGACTGGGGAAAAGGGGGTAGGTGTGTCAGAAACAATGAGATTGACACAGGATAGAGCAGGGTTTAGGGCTGTTGTACATAGGGTCGGTATGAGTAACAGGCAATTCTCTGGCACATTACAACACAACAATCAGTATGTCTAGGTACATTCACATTTACTTGAGAATGGGTAGCTTTGTTCCTTTAATGTTTGCTGTTGACTGATAGTTGACCCTTCAGTGGGTTATTAGAGGCTGTAAATACATTCAGGATTGGCCATCTTTCTCCTGCAGAGCAGCTGGTAGAAAAGGAAAGATGGAAAGTCAGCGAAAAAAAAGACCCACAGTGGAGTAGTGGATTGACATAGTTGACTGCCGCAGTAGGGTCAAGTATGTCAGAGATGATGAGGATGGTACAGGGTAGGTAGGATAAGGCTCAGATCTGTTCCTAGCTTCCAGTGAGTTACACTTGACTCCAAGGCACATATTAACAACAGTCCTTGACTCCAAGGAGCATTCCGGCTTCACCTCCAGGACAAACCTGTTTGTTCTCCTAGCAGTCCATGGTATATTCAACACTCTTCTCCAGCACCAAAGCTCAAAGCCATCAATTCTCTTTCTGTCAACCTTATTCACTGTCCAACTCTCTGATGCATAGCACGTAATTGCGAAGACTATAGCCTGGATCAGGCATACCTTAGTCTCCAGCCTGACGTCGTTGCTCTTCAGTACTCTTGAGAGGGTCCCTCACAGCTGACTTTGCAAATGCAATTCGTCTCTTGACTGTTACCAAGACAGCACAAATCTCT